ATCCGAGCAGCTGAGTCCTTAGCCATCTTCAAGAATCGGCTAAAAACACATCTCTTCTTTCTTTATTTGACCCTCTAACTCTAGCACTCTCCATTCTAATTATATTCTTTATAAAAAATTTAAAAAACGTGCCCCTTTTAGACTTGCACTCTATTTATTTGCCAAAAAGACGCTAAGTTGGTATAGCGTCAACACACCTGCCTGCAATTATCAAGCAACCCTGAACACCTTGATTAGCTGGTTCAGGTGTGTTTGATTGGGGTTGGAGTTGAAATCTGTAGGAAGGTAGTTCTCCAGGAGCAGGGTTGGAGACCACTGTTTCAAGTCATCTTGAGGCCCACTTGAACGTTTACTGAGGCCCTCTAGTGGGCCCCGGCTCCCTGGTTGAGAACTACTGATTTGGGGGATTCACTCCCACATTTAAACACAATTGTCACTTCCAAAATTTTCCAGCAAGTATGTGGGTTTGGTACAGTGGTACTCTGCCCTGGGTTTTTGCATTCATCACATCATCAACTGGCAGTTTCATAATCCTTTCTCCACATATAATCATTGCCAAAGACATTGCGTGTTTGGACCAGATGTTTAAATTACATCTAAGCCCTGTGCTTTTCTTAATTCAGCTAATGAAAAAACATGTAATGGGGAGAAATGTTTTAAGAAATAAAATGCAGCATGTGCACATAAATCCACACACGTGTTCTTTATCTGACTTTAGGCCATGCAGCTCTGATAAAATCCCAGAAAATGGTCTGGTGAAGTCTGTAAATAAGATAAGAGTTGCACACATATGGCCATATAGTCAGTGATAAAGACCAGCCATTGTACCCTCAGCCTTTCTTGGTGAGCCCCCTACAATAGCAGAGCAATGCATCTTTGTGTCCAGACAGCAAATGAGAAAAGAAAATGCATGGCTTTAAACCTGTGATCAAAAACTGCATATCAATTAACACAGCATAGATAACAGAGCACTATTTTTTGTTTTGAAAAGAATTCTCTTATGCTCACAAAATCTCCAATTATTCGATCAAATTACAGTAAAAACAGTAATATTGCAAACTATTATTACAATTTAAAATAACTCTTTTCTATTTTAATATATTTTAAAATGTAATTTATTCCTGTGATGGCAAAGCTGAACTTTCAGCATCATTACTCCAGTCTTCAATGTATGATGATTCTTCAGAAATCATTCTAATATGCTGATTTGGTGCTCAAGAAACTTTTATTATTATTATCAGTCTTAATATTGTGGTATACTGTGATACTTTTTTTCAGGATTCTTTGATGAAACGATTTATTTGAAATTCAGTACAAATCGATTGTTACATTATAAATTGCCTTTACTGTCACTTTTTGATTTAGTAAACTTTTGAACGGTTATGTACATGGCCTTTATAGCGTCCTCATGAGATTTTATGGCATACAAGACAAAAAATGTTTAGTAAGACATTAAAACAATTGAGATATGGAAAAACAGAATCCGTATATCTAAACATTAATTTTAGCAGTTTAAGTTAACAAAAATGAAATGTGACATATTACGGCAGAATTATTGAATAAAAACAATGTAAAGTCCACCACACCTGATCATACAATGAGGCTTCAATCCTTCCACTGCAGCTGAGTTCTGATGAAACTTCTCTGTAATACAAAGCAACGTCCCCAATGCAAATCACACACTCATTTGGAATTCCGTCCCTGTGGTTTGTTTTAAGTGCTCAGGGCACCTCAGGTTTCTTATTTATCTATTTTTTTAATTTGTGTCATATAAACACAAACAGATTAGATAATAGAGACGAGGGAGCGTGGGATTAATTTTGAAGGGCTCATTAGCACGTGGCTAGTCTAGGATAATTAGGTTTAGTTTTTTCCCCACGGCCTCTAGTCATATTGCAGTGTGGCAGCTGCTTTTACAAGCCCCCTATGCTCTGACTGATAAGTGGTTGTCAATCAAACAGGCCTGAGTTTGGTAGCGTAACATCTGCGACCGTGGCTGCATCCTGAGTGGTCCATAGCAACAGCATCCAGTGTCTTGATCACAGGCCTCTGAAACGCCCTCTTCAGGCATCAGAATTATGCTGTACTAGAATAAAACTACAGTAAAGGCCCGTTCACACCAAGAACGATAATTATAAAGATAACTATATTAGCGTCCACACCAGCGGACGATATCGTCTGTTTATTCCATGCCCATGCTCGTCTGCCGCTTTAAATTCTTGAGCTCATTATAGCAGGATTGATTCTGATTGGCTGTCAATGTTTTTATCATTCATTAGCTGGAAAAAAAATCGTTCTGAAAGTGATTCCAACGATATTGTTTCTCTGTGCCTTTATCGTTATAGCTGTGGTGTGGACTCTGCTATTCTTTAATATTGAGAACGATTTTTAGAACTATAACTTTATCATTATCGTCCTTGGTGTGAACAGGCCTTAACAGTGGGCCAGAGAAACACAGAACAATACTTATGTAAAAAGAACATTTTTCATATTTAAGTATTATTATTTAAATAATATTATTATTAACTGTATTCAGTTTTGCATATAATTGCATTCATCAATTTTTCCACAAGTTGGTAAATTGGGGGCTGCAAAGGTATGAATGGGAGTGAAAAAAAGATTGTATGTGTATCATTAAGAAAAAATGTATTTTAAGGACAATAATGTTTAACTAAATTATTTTTTACCAACTTAACAACTGTCCTCCAGACAATATTCTAATAATTTGCTGAGAATATATAACTCACTATATTTTAGGAAGGGCTTCACTTGCAACAGGAACCGTCATATTTGGGAAGATGAAGATATTCATGTCAATTATAATCCTGTCATGTTTCACAGAGCATGGTATCTATTTTATTGAAGGTTTTGAAAACTACAGTAACAGCAGGTCAAGGGTAAAGCAGAACAAAACTGCATCTTCGAACATGAACAAAAAGGTATCAACTTTTTATGTCACCAGATATGAAAAAACACAATATAAATCTAATATTATTTGCAGACTGATTAGTAAGACACTTGCTAAAGTGCAAATAAAAATATTTCAGCACATTCCACACAGTCAAATACAGTATAGCAAAATTGTCCTTTTCTGTTAACATTTACACTATTCCACATTTGTGACATGAAAGCCGAGTTGAATAACTAGACTTGACTAAAGTAAACCTTCAATTAATAGTTCCTATCTGAGAACCCTAATGAGGTCCAGAGTTATCCGATTCCTATGAAGATCCACATTCATGACCCGTACCTCTACCCGCTCACCTGGGCCAAGAGCTAGGCTTCTTCGCCGCTGGTCAACAGGCAGTTTATCCGGAGTGATGAAACGCTTTGGGATGAGACCAGAACGTCCGACTCCAATGTCCACAAAGGCTCCAAATAAAGCAGTGTTTGTTACACGGCCTGTTAGCACCATTCCATCGTGCAGGTCATTCATGGACACAATTTCCCGCTTGAAATCTGCCTGCTCAAAATCTATTGAGAAAAAAAAAGAGAGAAAATAATTAAGGTAAAGGTGTGGAATTCGCGTGACCAACTTCAACATGAGCAAAATGTAGGTGGGGAGTTTTTTTGCCTTCGAACAAAAAACACAAACTTGGATTCTTATTGAAATTACTGGAATTTGCGAAATTTCACCAAGCAACGGTCAATGTCACTGCACCATTAGAGACAAAGACGGAAAGAAGGAATGATAGAATGTTTAAACAGATTTTGTCTTTTTCCAGAGACTAAGATTGACATTAGCCTCCTTCCCTTCAAATCTTAAGCACCCTCCTCCAAACTGATCCAAGAACTCCAAAGCCAGACATTAGAAACAAGCTTCAGTTAATGGTTTAAAACAAATAGAATTACCAGGCCTCTCAAACCTCTTCTTTCCGAGTCCATTTTGTCTGTTTTTTGGGTGATTTTCTTTGGGAGGTGCTTTTTACATAAACATGACCTCTCAGCAGGCTCTGCAGTCCAGGAAACATTCATCTCTGATTATTCTTATCCGGGACACCTTACCTAGAGCACTGCTCACATGGAAGTTATTTATACAGCTGGCTACAGAGCAGAGCCCATCAGGCTTCCACCCAGGGGAAGTGAGCCTGCAGCCTTCTGATGAGAAAGCTAGTGTCCTATCTAGTGCACGACACTGAGGTGCCATCTCATCATCTGGAGTCTCCTGCAACCATCTCTGCTAAAGGTCTTGATTAAAATGTACAAAAAAATTTTTGTGGCATTTTCAGATTAATTTATTATAGTTTTTCCTCCACAAGAGTCCTAATTCAACTTCAACCAACACTGTCATCATCTTTTCAAATACAAAAATGAAACCCCCTCCCGTTCCCAAAGAAAACCTTTCTCTGCATGTAATGAACTCTGCTCCCCAACCCTGAAAATACATTAAGACATTCATCTCAATTACAATCCTGTCACCTTTAATGAAACATAACATTTACTATCAACACCCACAGAAGGAAAACAATGTCTTCTCAGATGTCTGAACTTAACATTAAAACCAGAAGAGGCGTTTGTTGTTTGGTCGTTTTTATTCACTTGGAGAGTCACTGGGGGATTTTAGCACTGAAATCAAGGCTACTCTGCTTTCCTCTTTACGCAGCTTTCTCTCTCATTAATGATATATCTGTCGGAAGGTCTGCTTTAATAATGCGGGTCTTCCCCAAAATTATGCGGCAAGACTTCAAAAGCCTGGAGCGCCGCCCAGTCATCTCACAGACGAGAGACGGACTCAAGGGAGACAGGAGGAGAATCGTTATAAGGGAGGGAGGAAAAGAGAGTGAGATGCCAGCATTGTCTGTGATCTGTGCACCGGCCATGTTGAGAAAGTACTTTAATACTTTGGTTTGTGCTGTGCTAAACTGATTTCAAAACCTTCATCTGTGTAGAAACTTGAGGTACAGTAAACTTCTGCTATGAAATGTTGCCACAGGCTACGATCCGAACCACATCATAGAAAATTTTAAACGTTCATGCGCTGAGTTTACATTTGCCTGTCTGTCTGTATGTGTAGAGTCATCCTACATGTACATTTCTTAAAGCAACAAAACAAAAAATGAAAATTAATAATTTACTTAGCTGACAAATATATATGATCTACCTTCTTTGGTGAAATACAAAAGGAGATATTTATATTAGATTGGCCAAGCAGCACACGGAAACGTGTTGTCAACCCGACCTCATGAGAAAACTATTTGAGTTGCCCATTTCATTTGAATTCATTCAAAACTATGATATTTGTAGAAAAAATGCATGCAAAAAAGAAAAGAAAAAACTAAAACTAACCCTTGGCTCGTACGAAAATGTACAAATGAGATCATACAAATTAGTATGGTACAATTTTGCAACAAATTCACCCAATTTAAAAAATGTTATGGGTTGCCATGAAAGTATGTTGGAAAAGCTGCCCAGACATTCAGCTAAACTTCTGCAGTAAGGCAGTAAGTCAATGAGTCTGTAATTGCATGAGGGTGAGTAAATAATAAACGTTCATTTTTTGGTGAACAACAAGGATTTTTATTTTCTGCTGAGACAGTAGTTTTGATTTTTCACTGGACCCAACACAAAAGAATAATACATTTAAATTTTTGGAAATGTATTTTATACTTGCTAGAAATATATATATAGCAATCTTACTAAAGACTATCATAAGCCATTTTCACAATTTCAATAAAACCTCATCTATGTTAGTCAGATAGATAACATTATCCTGGCGACAAATCAGCAGTTTTCAAGAAAATTAATGTACAAAATTAACAAATGTGATTGTGGCAACACAGCACTGGCCCAAAAAGTGCAAGAGTTATATTAACTGTCCCGGGCCAGTGGGTAATCTTTATTGATGAGTCCTGCAATTATCTTCAGATACAAATATTATTCTGTCCTTTATGTAGAGGAAAAAGAGAGGGCACATCATAGATCATAGATTCTTACCCTGACGAATGTCAAAGCCAGGTGGCTGAGTGAGTCCATCCACAATGAGCTGAAGAGTCTCAGGTGTGGTGTCCAGAGATTTGGCCAAGACATCCAGACCTCTGCTCTTAACACTGCTCTCAATACTCTGCCTGAGCACAGCACTGCCCATCTGATCCAAACTGCCACCTATTTGAGACAAAAACCTGAATGAAGAGAGCAAGAAGAGAAAATTACTTTCTTGACAAGTGGAGAAACAAATTTAAGTGCATTTTATCAGTTTTTAAGGAGATTTCGTATAACACCTTCTGCAAACTTTATTTCTTATTCAGAAACACTCCACATACACACACACACACACTTGATTCAGATGCTGTGTTAAGGCAGTGAGGTGTGTTGAGGTCCATGGGAGGTGGTGTCTTAAAGAATGGCTTTTTAATAGCCCTTCTCAGAGCCTAGTGCATGTGGAGGAACTCCCCCGACACTAGCGAGGAGCCTGAAGGCCGACACACGGAGTGGAGCAAAGACTGGGAGAGGAGGTAGGTAGGGGAGGGGAGGTTAGACTAATTATGCCCTAAATCTTGATTTCTAGAGTCCCAGAGATGAAGACTCTGTCTCCCTCTATAAATCTAACCGCCTTGTGAGCACCATACATAAAAGGAAAAGGTTAGTGCTGAGGCTTGAGCAGTGAAGCAGGAACACAGACCAAACACAGCCAGCAAAAAAGGTCTACACATGGCCTATTACTTGGCACAGCCCATAAGCTCTGGCTCAGGATGAGCATATTAATTCATGATGTGATCATGAACTGCAAGACTGAGACACTGGTTAACCTTCAGCTTCATACTGTGCTGCATAGTAGGTCTGTTAGGGCCATATACTGCAAATCGAAAAATGACCACAATATGTAAATATACAGCATACTGTGTGTATGGGTGGCAATCATTAGGCAAATAATTATTAGATGTTATAGTTGCACTGAAATTGATTAAAAATAAATAAATAAATAAACACCCAGTGGTGACACTTCCAGATTCTCCAGATGCCTCCAAAAAGAACAGCTTTATATTAGTGCTTTACTAGTGCAAGAGTTATATTAACTGTCCCGGGCCAGTGGGTAATCTTTATTGATGAGTCCTGCAATTATCTTCAGATACAAATATTATTCTGTCCTTTATGTAGAGGAAAAAGAGAGGGCACATCATAGATCATAGATTCTTACCCTGACGAATGTCAAAGCCAGGTGGCTGAGTGAGTCCATCCACAATGAGCTGAAGAGTCTCAGGTGTGGTGTCCAGAGATTTGGCCAAGACATCCAGACCTCTGCTCTTAACACTGCTCTCAATACTCTGCCTGAGCACAGCACTGCCCATCTGATCCAAACTGCCACCTATTTGAGACAAAAACCTGAATGAAGAGAGCAAGAAGAGAAAATTACTTTCTTGACAAGTGGAGAAACAAATTTAAGTGCATTTTATCAGTTTTTAAGGAGATTTCGTATAACACCTTCTGCAAACTTTATTTCTTATTCAGAAACACTCCACATACACACACACACACACTTGATTCAGATGCTGTGTTAAGGCAGTGAGGTGTGTTGAGGTCCATGGGAGGTGGTGTCTTAAAGAATGGCTTTTTAATAGCCCTTCTCAGAGCCTAGTGCATGTGGAGGAACTCCCCCGACACTAGCGAGGAGCCTGAAGGCCGACACACGGAGTGGAGCAAAGACTGGGAGAGGAGGTAGGTAGGGGAGGGGAGGTTAGACTAATTATGCCCTAAATCTTGATTTCTAGAGTCCCAGAGATGAAGACTCTGTCTCCCTCTATAAATCTAACCGCCTTGTGAGCACCATACATAAAAGGAAAAGGTTAGTGCTGAGGCTTGAGCAGTGAAGCAGGAACACAGACCAAACACAGCCAGCAAAAAAGGTCTACACATGGCCTATTACTTGGCACAGCCCATAAGCTCTGGCTCAGGATGAGCATATTAATTCATGATGTGATCATGAACTGCAAGACTGAGACACTGGTTAACCTTCAGCTTCATACTGTGCTGCATAGTAGGTCTGTTAGGGCCATATACTGCAAATCGAAAAATGACCACAATATGTAAATATACAGCATACTGTGTGTATGGGTGGCAATCATTAGGCAAATAATTATTAGATGTTATAGTTGCACTGAAATTGATTAAAAATAAATAAATAAATAAACACCCAGTGGTGACACTTCCAGATTCTCCAGATGCCTCCAAAAAGAACAGCTTTATATTAGTGCTTTACTATTAAGCATAAAACAAAAACAAAACATTGGTTTTGGAACCCTATATATATATATATATATATATATATATATACACACAGTATATACACACACAAGTTTGAGGGTGTTCAAAAACCTGTAACACATCTGTCAATACTAAATGTTCACATAGTTGATTTTTGAAAAAAAATTGTCAGTGGTTCAAAAGGAACCCATGTATATTTCTTCACCACAGACCATAAGTATCCCTTCATAATTGTTAACAAATATTATGACATTATTTACGTACTTAACAGATTGAATCACAGCTCTGCTCATACTCATCACTAAAAAATACCTGCTTAAAGAACCTGGAATGTGTAACAAAAATTATAGATTTTTTTTTTTTATTAATAAAAAATATTATTTTTAAATAAATTAATTCATTATTGCATATTACAATTACTGAAACAGTGTGCCTAACATTTTCAGACTGCATGACATTTGTCTGTGATGTTTTGTCCTGTGTTTGCTTGCTCAATAAATAAAATTATGAATAATTAGATTAGAATTCCAAAAGATTTTCTTAACCATAAGAACCATGACCATAAGAAATGTTCCCACAGTAAAATTTTGACAAATACCAATAAACCAATTAATATTATTTTTGTACTATGGTCAAAAATTGTTAAATGATCGATACAAAAATTATATACAATTCTGTCTAAATAAAAATAAGAAAATGCTCAATTATATCACAACATTATAATATTGCTTGTGTAATTGTCATCATTTGTAAGTTGCTTTAAATGTAAATATAACATACTGATAAAGGTCAGTCCATAATTCCTCAATTTGTCTTCAAAAAATCACAAAGTTAGTGCCTAAATATTGTTCTCTCATCAGAGCAGTGCCAATGAGTGATATAACCTCTACAAGGACACACACGTCCTGGAGTGTGCAATAAGCCTGTATCATGGGGTCAAGCTGTCCAGAGGTGGCTGTGGAATGCTGGGGTCCTGGGCATTACAGGAATGTGAGTTTTGGCAAGAGAAGGGGGCAAATCTGCTGAGCCAGCTTGCTGATGGATGGCCGTCGCCGTGACAGCCTGACGCCAGCGCAGCTGTCCTCTATGTGACTGACAGGGCAGGTGGGTTCAAGCCCCACCCATTTCCTGCTGCAGACAGAGGGCTTGACCGCAACAGTGACAGGCAAATCTACTCACACTCGCTCTATTGCATTTACCCACACAATTTCACACTGTCTGAGCTCACAAACAGATACACAGCACTAATACACATACATACTGATCATTACTCCTTCTCGACTCACCGTCCTGAAAAAGTGTACGCTTGACAGGAGGGATGCTGGTAGGGTGTCATTTTAAACTGTGTGTGTCCAAACATCGACAATAATTCCTGTAGATTTACTTATCTTGTCTAGGTACTATAAAAAAACCTATATTTGAAACCAGAATTTCTATAGGTTAGTAGATTTTTACAGTTTCTAAAAAAATGAAAATGATGCCTTTCCTGTCTAAAAAAACAATGGGTGTCAATGGGTGAAATATATTTCAAATTTACCAAAAAAAAAACCGTAGGAACAACTGAAATCACATGTACAGAAAAATCACATACTCTGGGTGGCCTTATAAAAGCATTTAGATTACATTTTATATATAGATACTTCTCTTTATACAATACTTTTCATCATATACAGTAAAAGAGTAAGAACAAGTGTGTTCCTCTGCCTCTGCCTCTGCATAAAAATGCAAATAAAGGCATGTATAGCTGGTTAATGAGAGATTGCATCTTTAGATTGCATATGTTTGCTGAGAGTGATGAAAGGTTGTAAAAGAGAAGTTGTGAAGAATATGGAGACAGTTTGGGCATGTTTTATGCAAATAAATGACCTCCAGATTCATTAAAATTACAGTAATCATTAAAATTAGTTTAAGAAAAAATTCATGTACGTACGCATGTTTTGTGACTTAGTTAATTTTTTTAGTGAGAAACACATCTGTACATATAAATTACGAATAATCCACACAATTATTAAAAAATTAGACCCAATGATAAGATGTAGTGGTCACCAAAGCTATGTGCTTTGCTATGTGGTTGCTAGGGTGCTCTAGGTTGTTGCTAAGGTGTCGCAATGCAGTTGCAATGGTGTTCTGGGTGGCTGTTAGCGAGTTGCTAGGTGTTTCTTTAATTCAAAAGCATTGAATCCAACCCCCCAAAAATATGTTCTAAATATGGCTGGTGATTGGTGACGTTTTATAGTCCACCAGGTGAAAAGTAGGCCTAACAACATACCTCTCCTCAACAAGCTGCACGATTCAAGTTATCATACCTTAACGAAAACACTGTGGGATGAGTTATGCATCAAAGTTTTCTAAGAGTTAAACCTGCTAAGAACAAACCAAAACCCAGACATTTTCAATACTATGAACACACAGAAGTGCAATGCCAAAAGCTGCCTTTCTTGCTCACTTTGAAACATCTAACAGTTCTAGAGCAGAACTAGATCTAGTGAAACAACAAAAAATCATAGGCTCTGTTGGGCCTTTGAGTTATGAGGTGATGAAAATGCAGAGTAACAGAAACGCATGCACACACTGCAGATGAATTCCAACTTGTCTCTCAAGTAAAAGATTTGATGAAAGAACTGCAGAACCGAGTCATTCAAGTGACATTGAATATTCTGCAGCCTCCACAGCACTAATGGTAAGAAATTTCAAATGTTTTTTTTTTTAAAGAAATCTCTTATGCTCAATTATATTGCATTTATTTTATTTGATCAAAAATACATTAAAAACAGCTACAATGTGAAATATTATTACAATTTAAAATAACTGTTTTCTATTTAAATATATTTTAAAATGCAATTAAACATGCTAATAGGCTGATTTGAAACATGGACATCAAGAAACATCTCTTATTATTAGATACTGAAATCAGCTGTGCTGCTTAATATTTTTATACAAACTGTGATACATTAATTTAGAATTCTTTGAAATAGATTTTTTTTTTGTAACAATGTAAAAATCTTTACTGTGATTTTTGATCAATTCTTTGCATAATAAGCTACTTTTATTATGAATTCATGTTTGTTCATAAAATAATCTTCATTAATACAAGTTCAAATGTTAAGCATGTATTAGTATATGTATTTATATATAATATATAATTAACATTAACCTAGATTAATAAATGCTGTAAAGTAGTGCTTATCGTTTATGCATTAAGACGCACTAACAAATTAAACCTTATTGTAAAGTGTTACCAAATTAACAATGTATACAATGACAAAACTAAAGACACATCTACTGCAAACAAATCACCAAAAATCCTATTCCACATTAATCACCATATGGTGAATGTTAAAAATGACACAATAAAACAGAACCAAATTTCCAGTGGAAAATTAACTGAAAAGTCAGACACAAGCATGTGTCCTGACAACACCTGCTTGTAAATGACTTTCACACATATACCAATTTCAACAAATTACTCAAGCACTCATATTGCCCAACGGCAACTACCCATCATTCTCCACTGGTCCTTCACAGATTTCCGTGATGTTGGTCAGGGACACTGTGCTTCCCTCCAGCTGTCCCTCTGGAGCACCAGAGTTGGCACAAGGACAGAATAGAGATGGAGAGAGAGGGAGAGGGAGAGAGAGAGAGAGAGGAGGTTGCAGAGCTGAACTCTGAGTGATTTATGAACAGTTACAGTGTGAGTGTGGCGGTGGCAGACGATTGGCCCAAGGGCTCAGGTTTCTGGAGGGGGTCTCAGCTGGGCTGTTTCTGAGTTTATTAGGAGTGTAGGAAAGTGGAGAGAGAGTACATGTAGAGGGACTTTTATTATGCCGCTATCTGCTGTGTCTGTGTAATCTGTTTGAGCCACCAGCTAAAAGGATGTTAATTCCAGTTTGTTCGTGGTGACTGTGATTGCTGCAGATGTTATATCAAGGTGTTAGTCACTGAACACATAACAATCTACATCTTTGACGGTACATCTATGGCCCTACCTTTGTCTGCCGATACAAAGTATAAAGCTGATCATCCTCATTATTTGTGCTGGCACCCAGAGGGGGTTTACTCATCCAGTAACAAATTTTTTTTGCGTATCGTTAGCAAACTATGGCCTAAGCTCTGTCATTACCAACATAGTTCAACTATGTTTCCCGAAACTTCACAAACAGCATCACAAACTTACGTGGTTGGAATTACAGCTCTATTATGTTTAATATAATCTATCTAATATATTTCTAACATAATCAATGTATTTCTAATCAATCTAATATATTTAAGAATATATATTTTAGCATGTTAACAATCAGCATGGTTTTTGAAGAGTGCCCATGTGCATAATGTGTAAGGAAATGGCAGAGTCAAATAACATCAAATAAAGCAAAACGACAGGCAACAAAAAATAGTTAAGTAATCATCAGGTGCCATGTTCGTTACAGCACCGTCTCTGAGATCTCGAATCAATTAATTAGGAGAAGTTATTACTCCACCACCTGCGCATGACATCATTAATGACATATTGTTGAAACCATAGATATATATCTCATCTGTAAAAGGTTATCCCATTTCTTCGGGAATTTAAATCTCAGGAAAAGTCGTGACTAGTTGGTTCATTTCTCCAACATACTGCGGTAGTCAATTTGCGAGTTAGGTCGTTGTATGGGAAACATTTTCCATATGGTTACTGGCACTTGATTATTTAAGATATTATCATACATGTGGGATTAACACAATATCAATATTTAATGTTGTAAATATCATGCTCTCCCCTTCATCCTCTCGCAAATTATTGAAGAACAAAGAAAGCACTATCAGTTATTGGCTATAATAAAATGGCACGTCACAGAAACTGGTCAAATGAATGTGAGTTTATTTTGGTAGGAGGCTCCAATTAGAGCTCACATCAACCTTTGCTTCACAGCTAATACTTAAATACTAGAGATGGTCCATCAGGGGGTCAGCGCTACATATTGTGTATGCACATTGTGTGTATGAGTGGGAAGTGGTGGGGCTAAGGGTATCAAGTTCATCACATTAGAGCAACATGATCCGCCATTACCGTCCGCTGGCCCACGCTTCGCCAAGAGCCTGACGTGCAACGAAATCACACACGAAATGGAGGAAGACAAGCGGCATGTTTTCACAAGCACAATGTGTGACTGATTTAAGGCACTTCCTGTCCTGACTTCACAAATATTAAGCGCAAACCAGTCACTGATGCAAAGAGGGGCGTATTTTCATTTCATTTCTATTCTCATTAACTGCTGCATTAATATAAATGAGAACGAGAGAGGAAGTGAAAAGGGCTGTCCAATAATTTGCAAAGAGAATGAGAATGAGCTGGTGAAACAGAGGACAAGAGTGATGAACCCAGTGCATAAATGGGTTACAGATTGTTGGAAATATGTTAAGCTTGTCATCATCATTATAAAGACATCGCTCAGACGGTTCTGCTCGCATCATTAGCCTTATGATTCCAGCCCTGGCTGAAGATCGCAACATATTTGATAGAATTTATTAGCAATACCCAGAATTCCTCCCAAGCCCCCTAAAACCCTTGTTAAAGTCCGCTACATTAGCTGGGTGCTACATTACCAACTCAGCACTGCTGGTGGCCATGTTTAATCAAATCCTGTTACTCCAAGAAAAATATGCCTGGGCTCATGATGACAATTGGAGTGGAGCAACATCCATTAGCACAGCATTTGGTAACGATAGAGAATGTTGATAATACAGGGGACTACAAGGGAGGCTTTTCTGCCTGGTTTAGTTGGAAATGAAGCCTAACGGAGAGAAATGAAAACAAACAGAAGGGGAGGAGAAGAGGGAGGATATAACAGGGTGAATATTCCCCCACTTCATGCCCCTAAGTGGCTTTATTAGACCTCTGACCCTAAAAAGCACCTCTGACGACAGATAAGGCAAAGAAGGAGTGGATAGAAAAGCATATGATTCACACATAGACAGAGGTGTCCACAAGTCTCAGACCACCAGTGAAGGCGTGTTCAATTTTAAATCGATTTAATCAATATTCATTTTTACATTTTGTTAAATATTCAATTTATTATTATGCAATATAATTTGTAAAATACTAACTATATATATAATTCTATTTTTTAATTCTATTTAAATAATATATTAATCATTCCAATTCTATTGATTTAATAAAAATATAACATTTTATAAAATGTATATGAAATATACAATTTTGTAATGAAAATGTGTATTAAATTACAAACAAAATACAAATAGAATATTATACATAATACTATATAATACTACTAATCCAATTTTATACACACATTTATTATAAATTTTATTGTATAAAGATAATTATAATATCAATTATATATAATTGACATTATAATTAGAATAATAATATCAATACAATAATATCAATATAAATTTGCATTTACATGCGATTAGTGGCCTACAAGTAGTACAGAATCTTCAATTTCCTCTTCATTTTGTCATAACTTTCTTTGTTTTACTTTTTTTTTTTTTTTTTGTGTAAAATCATAAAACATTGTTTATTTCCAGGTTTAACTGCAAAAAAATCCAGATTTTCAGTGTGATCTCAGATGTTTGTACACAACTGCACACATACACATACCAAGTCACAAAATTAAGTGTAATTGCATGAGTACACACACTATGCTACAACTGAAGCCAAAGTACGCC